GTGATAAAAATCTCATTGGTTACGCTTTTTATTCGTACACTTATTCTCCATGGACTGGAAGGTCTATATTTATGGAAGATCTTTACGTGGCATCGAATTTTCGACAGAAAAACGTTGGCAGCAAAATTTTACAAGCCCTTGCGAAAGTACGTTTTATAGATTTAATTAGAATTTTATATGTAGTATATTATATGTATCTAAAAAAAATTACAAAATGTTTACAGGATGCATTGGAAAACAATTGTAACAAATTAGATTTCAAGGTTCTTAACTGGAACTCAGCACAAAATTTTTATCAAAAACTAGGGGCGAATGATTTGACGATTAAAGAACAATGGCATTATTATCGTTTTGATAATGAAGAGTTGAAAAAATTAGCGTTTCAAAACTAGCATCTGATCTAGATAAGCTAAAATATAACAACTGATAGTAACAGAGTGTTTTAATGATGGATAGTATAATAATTAATTTAGTATTAATAATAGAATAACTGCTTTACAGTAAAAATCTACTTTATAATAGTAGCAAAATATTTACTTTATTATTAATATAAATAATGTACATAAAACTTGATAAAAATTTGGTAAAAATTTAAATTATTGAAATTTTTAATAATTTATTTAATCTATATTATTACTGTAATATATAAACATATTTTTGTAACATCTTTCTCTCTCCATAAATAGATACGTTGATATTCATGAAGACAGTGCTACCTCAATCAGATCAACCAAGATGGCTTTTCTCCTTACTCCTTAAATTTAATTCATCCTGGTGTAAAACGGTACTTTACATTTTTTTTCTACATCTTTTTCGTATCTTTATGTTTAAGTCACAAAAAGTAAAGGCAATTCACACTCCATATACATATAATCAGAAATAAAAGTTGCACAGTTATATCTACGAGATCACGCATTTTTTTCGTACAGTAAAGAAATCGGTGCAAGAGAAAAAAGATATGTCTATATTATACTGTCTCGCTCTAATTAACATAAATTAACGAAAAATGTCGGATCATCTCATCAATCGCGGATTGCTAGCTATCTAAGTCCAGACCCTGATTATAAAATCTCTATAATATATTTTACATTATATTTTAGCAGTCATGAAAATTTTCATAAAAATGCTGACTTTTATTATTTTCAATAGTATATCTTTTTACCCAGTGATGTAAGCAATTTTTAGAAATTTATTTCCTCAACTAGTAGATATTGTTTTTTAAATGTTTTTTAAATATATATTTAAATTTATAATATTAAATAAATATTTAAAAACTATTTAAAAAACATTGTCTGCTGCTTGGGTAACGTGAAACTAATCTTTTGAGACGCTTTTCTTATCCCGATTACTCTGTTTAAGGATCGAGGTTCTTCAGTCTTTTCACATAATATAAAAATTTAATCAAATTTGGAGAATAAATTTATAATTAATATTTAGGCACTTTTAAATTTTTTCAAATTTTTTAACCGTATAGTAGTTTTAATATATATGAATA